CCGAGAAAAGAAATCGATACCTTCGGATCTTGAAAAGGCACGCATGACGCCCCAACGGTCTGTCCGTGAGCTCGCGGCTGCGTTCCTTGAACGTGAGCGTGTTGCGTCGCCTTCGCCTTCTTCGTCCAAGGAACGAACGGCGGTGGCTCTTGCACCGACAAGAAAAGAAAGGACATTTTCGCCTATGCGCACTGGTAGTGAATCGCCTCTGAAGGAGGACTTTGAGAGAGCTGCGACACCGCTCAGGAGGGAGAGGAGTTTTATGGAGGAAGATGAAAAAGAGTTGATGAAAGAGATAAAGAGGGCGGTCACGCCTTTGAGAAAGGAGAAGAGTTTCAAGGTTGAAGATGAGAAGCAGGCGGAAAAGGAGAAGGCAGAGATTGCGGCGGCTTCGGCTGCACTTACGGGGGGTGTGGCGCTTTTGGCCAGGAAGTTTGGTGGGTCTGGTACTTCGGGTACACCCATTCCGACTTCGCCATCAGTGGTTGAGTCGAGGAAAAAGGGCTGGGAGAAGCAAGAAGGAGTTATTAAAAAGAGTGACAAGGGAAAGGAGAAGGAGATTGTGAAGGTGGCTGATGCGGATAGGGGCATGCCTATGGATGTTGATCCAATTGTGTCCGTGGCAAGAGACGTCCATCCGGCCGAGACAAGAGATATGGATATCGATGACAAGCCGCCTGCCATGGAGACTACGACACGGGGAGTTGGCTTGGGCCTCTCCGACATGCCCGTCACGCCAAAGACACCCGTCAGCTTGGGTCGCCAGGACTCCGAGACGATTCCAAGGTCCATCAAGGAGGGTGCGCCTCTCGACAAGGACAGATCCAAAAGACGGGACAGGCGTGAGAAGCGCGAAACATCACCTGAACCAGTCCAGCGAGCGTTTTCATTCCCAGATGATATCGCTGACGAGGAGGCATTCACAAGAAAGGAGCTCAAGACGCCAACCAGATCTCTGGACGACGAGCCAGTCCGGGGCATCCCGCGAGTCGCGAGCATTACAGACTTTATGCGCTCCGTGACAAACCTCGCGCCTGTCCAAGAAGAGCTGTCCGACGAGGAGCCTGTCAAGAAAGAGACTCCCAGACACAGTGGCAGCAGCGCTCGCGGCCATAAGAATGCTCTCTTGGGTGCTGCAGCTGCTGTCGCTCTGGCAAGCGCCACTACGCCCAAGAGGGATTCTCACTCACCGTCGTTGCACAGAGACAGAGGGGACAGAGACAGCGGATTCGGATCCGACTCTCCCCATGTCTCACGACAGCTCTTCCTCAAGCCCCATGACGACGATAGCCACCGTGACAGCGGTGTGCACCTGCGCGATTCTCGGGATTACCAGCACGACAGTGATAGTCACCTCAAGACCACTCCTGCCGGTGCTGCTGTCAAGAAATCGTCCCCCTTGGCCGGGTCAAGCACCACTGGAAAGTTTGCCAGTACGGGTCCAGACACAACACCCCGTACGCCCAGAACCCCTGAGCCGGAAAAGTTGGTGGTCAAGAAGCGCACCGTCAGCAGCAAGCCAGACACTCTTGCAGCGCCCAGCAGCAGCAGCGCTGGTGCTACCAGGAGTGTCTCTGACAGCCAATCACAGCGCGCCTACAGCACCCCAAGATCAACAGACCCCACGCAGCCACGGCGGGTAGCGTCCAATACCAGCATCTCCCGCCTGAGGACCCCCGAGCCACTAGGATTGCGGCCTGACAGCCCTGGCGCTGCATCGCTGCGCTCTTATACCGGCACTCCCCCGCTGCGACGGGTCGACAAGCGAGTTAGTGGCGATCTGAGGTCCGTGTCCCGCAGCCAACAAGACCTGTCAGCGTCGTCCCAGTCGTCTGCCGCCAAAGAAAAGGCTGTGGCGGGTGCTGCACTGGTTGGGGCCGGTGTCATTGCTGCTGCCGGCGCTGCTGCACTCCTCTCTGGAGGTTCCTCTTCGACACCTGCGACTGCTGCTGACCGCAATTCCACCACCACTCCCGTTGCCAACGAAGGCCGCGTCCGCGCCAAGGACATGGCCGACGTATATGTAAGTGTTTTTTTCCTTGTCGCTATTCAATTGAAACTCGACCCAGATTCTAACCTTTTTTGTCTTATAGGATGGCTACGGCGAGGGCCGCATTGGCTCCCCGCGATCACCGACCCGACCGCACAGCATGCGCCGGCGACAGAGCATGCAGGTGCTCGAGCTCGAGTCGCGCCTGGCCCAGCTGACCGAGGAGAACCGACAGCTGGCCGAAGCCCGCGCCCACGCCGAGGCCGGCACCAGCCAGCGCAACTCGTCCGTCCTCGCCGACCGCGACTCGGAGATCGAGAGCCTGAAGCGCATGCTGCAGGAAGCCAACGAGGTCATTGAGCGTCTTAAGCAGACGAACGAAGGCCTCCGCAGTTCGACTTCAGCCATCGCCGTCAAGCACCACGAGGAAGTCCGCCGCCTCGAGACGCTGAACCTCAGCACCTCGCGCGAGCTCGAGTCGGTCCGGAGCACGTATAGCCTCCACGCGCGAGCCCTCCAAGAAAAAGACAGCGAGATTGCGCAGCTGCGCGCCCAGCTCGAGGCCTCGACGGCGCAGATCCGCGAGCTGCAGAAACAGATCCTCGAGACCTCGCGGCCTAGCCCGTCGACGGAGTCGGATTTCCTAGCCAACCACGACGTCGACTACTTTGACCACCGGTGCCAGCAGCTCTGCGCCCACGTGCAACAATGGGTCTTGCGGTTTAGCAAGTTCAGCGACATGCGCGCTTGTCGTCTCACCTCGGAAATCAATGACGAGAAGCTCATCGACCGGCTGGACAACGCCGTCCTGGACGGCTCCGACGTGGACAATTACCTCGCCGATCGTGTCAAGCGGCGAGACATTTTCATGAGCATGACCATGACCATGATCTGGGAATTCGTCTTTGTGCGCTACCTCTTTGGCATGGACCGCGAGCAGCGCCAGAAACTCAAGACGCTGGAAAAGCAACTCAGCGAAGTCGGACCAACACATGCAGTGCGCCAATGGCGCGCTATCACACTCACCCTCCTCGCTCGTCGGCCGACGTTCAAGAAGCAGCGCGACCAAGATACCGAGGCGGTAGTCCAAACCATCCTCGCCGCGCTCTCCAAGATCCTCCCACCTCCATCAAACCTAGAGTCTCAGATTCAAAGCCAATTACGCAAGGTTATTCGCGAGGCGGTAGATCTCGCAATTGAAATGCGCTGTCAACGGGCGGAATACGCCATGCTGCCCCCCTTGCAGCCTGAATACGACGATAACGGGGAGCTCACCGAAACAGTGGCGTTTAATGCAGCGCTGATGAATGATCGCTCCGTGTCGAATTCGTCGCACGACGATAGTGATGCCCAGGCACGAAATGAAGAACTCGAAGTTGCCGGGGCGACGGTCAGAGTGGTATTGTTCCCTTTGGTAGTCAGGAAGGGAGATGATATCGGACGCGGGGAGGACGAGGTGGTTGTGTGTCCTGCCCAGGTACTTGTTAATGGCTCACATATGAGAGGGGGGGACAGTAGTGTGATGGATAAGGGCAAGGGGATTAGAATGGTTACCCCGTCTTCGGATGCGGGTGGGGCTAGTTTGTTGGCGAGGAGCACGGGGACTGCGCCTACTGAGGGGGGACGAGATTATTATGGGAGGAGTCCGGCTAGAGAGAGGGGGCAGAGGGGGGTTACGCCTGCTAGCGATTTAGCAAAGGAGGAGGATCAGGAAGAGGAAGAGGAAGATGAGGAGGAGGATGATGAGGATACTGATATGGATGATGCTGACCATGTTCAGGGGGCTCGGGCCAAGACGGCTGCGTATTTGGAGGGACGGGCTTGAATGAATTGAATGGTATATGTGGATGATGAGAAGAAGGGATGGGATATAAAATACAGGTTATACCACGAGGAAGGGGTTTGGATGGATACACTTGGCTATACTGTTCTTGTTGTTTAATCTTTCTTGACTTTTTTTCTTTTTTGTTTTTCTTGTTTCCATGTTAGTTGTCTTGTTGTTTATCTGTTCTGTCTAATCGTTTCCTTTCATGTCATTTGGGTTGAGATTCAAGGAGTTCAGGGACAGGGATGAGGAAACACGACCTTGCTCTTTTCTTTTTGTTTAAGAAAATTTCCTGATTTTGTTGCGTAATTTGTCGGTTTGTATTGTGTTTTTAGTTTAAGCCTTTCAACTTTTGACGCTTTTTGACTCTTTGCCTGGGTTGCTTGCTTGCTTCTTTGGTCTGTGTTTCTTTATGATTAGAAAGCTTCATCTCATAGACGATATGAATTATGAATGATGATATCTTATCTATAATCAGCCTTCTAGAGATATCCTCATGGTGTTAGATGATTGTCCTATGTTGGGTTAATAGTCCCGGTTGATGGGAGTGAGTCAGTGGGTGAGTGGGTGCATGCGGTGTGTACCTGACTGACTGCTCTCGAGCTCCTCCTTTCTATAAGATCCCTCAAATGTTATATGCCCTCTTCTTTATGTTTATATATTCCTCACACGATCAAGACCACGTCTGTTTGTTCAACTCTGTCTGGAAAGGAGCGCATAGCATCCCATAACCCTCATGTCGTTAGTTCTACTTGGCTTCCGAACAGGTTAGTTAATACACATTATGTCATATTTTCTTCTCGGATGGACGGACCTCCGACTATCTGATGCTCTGCTGCTTAGGAGGTCTGGTCTGATCCGTTCATAAGATAAATAAGGTCCTTTCATATTTTGTATACAACTAACTACTTACTGTGCATGAATAACTCGTTGTTCTTACACTCTCCTGATCGCGTATTCGTGTGCTCATATATGCATGCCCATTGGGTTCACAGAATAAAGGCTGATTCTTGCTAGACAGGTCTGGAATATATGGATAGGGGGAGCCACTTGACCTTGAGTCCATGTCGACAGGTAGTTGAAACCCAACCCCACATCTAGAAGGAGATAGAGGGAAAGGACAGGATTAAAAGGGAAAAAAAAGAAGAACAAAAGAAGACAAGTAGGTGATAGGCCAAAAGATAATGGACGAGCTGGGAATCGAACCCAGGACCTTTCGCAGGTATTTGTTTCCAGTTTCACTCACTGAGTACCTTCTTTTTAGAGGAAGAAAGGAGGAAATAAAGCTGCTAAGCGAACGCTCTACCAACTGAGCCACACGCCCTTTTTAGTGGTGTTGTTGAGGCTACCCCGAGCAAATTGGTCTTTTCTGACTCGTGCCTCTGAGGTATTTTTCTTTTTTTTTGCTTTGGTTAACTTTTAATTGTGGATTCGTTTATGGGTTTGACGGAGACCGGATTTTGGAGGCGCCGAGGCGGTATTTCAAGGCGAGTCTGCAGTTCTGAGTGGAGATGCTGCCGGCTGCATCATGCAAGAGACCGGACAACGCCGTCCAAAGGTAGTACGTAGACGTCCGAGAAAATTCTGTTTCCACTGTCCTGCCCCGGTAAACACCGACCGGGTCTGTTCATGTGAAAAACGGGGTTCAAGTAGGTATGATAAATATGAAAAGGCTGGCTTTCTCTGAATGAGAGAGAATCGTGTAAGATTTATACCAAGGGAGGGTTAGGGTTATATGCGGCGATCAAGGGGACCAAGGGAAAGGGGAATAGGAATGGCAAACCTTGCCTTGGCTTCTTTTGCTTTACTTTGCAAAGCCTTACCTTGGTTTACTTGGTCATGGTAGAAACCCAGCCAACCTGGGGCAAAGCTGAGCAGGCTATACCAAGGTGTTGAATTTGTTTACATGGAGCTTGTTGTCGATAGCAACAACAAGCAATGGGGCTCCATTGACCACGGTAAATATCATCCATCTACGAATACCATCTTCCTACCACCACCACCACCACCACCACAGCATGACCGATGAACAATGCAAGTCTAATATGCTGCCAACATGACCATGCCGAGGGGTCCGGACGTGGGATAGAACAGACGGGAAGGTCTGATCAACCGATATTGTGATTCATGAGCTGACAAGGAAGGAAGCAAGAACTTTGTGAGATTGGCTGACAATGACGCTGCTGCTTGGGAGTCTGGTTGCCCTCCTTCTGGTGAGACAATGCCAATCAGTCACTCCACAGCTTTCGACACATATATGTTACCTTGCTCTTTTCCTCAATTTACCTCACTTACTTGGTCTCAATGAGCCGTCGGGATGGATACCAGTCACCTATGAATGACGGCACTGAACAGCACTTTGCCAGGTCCTAATGGGTGTATGTAGCCTGGTTGGTCTGGTGTCCATCTCGTCCTCATCTGCTACTTAATAATTACGCTCCTCCTGTGAAACATGAAGCTTGCCTGCTTGGCTGTGAGAGTACTGGCAAATGTAGGTAGGTGGGTAAAGGCTAGTAGGCAGGCAGGCAGGTAAGAAAGCTACCTAGTTAAGTAGCTAAACTAGCTAGTTGGCAAGGCAGGACAGGACAGCCAGGACATTATAAAAGGCAAGGCAGGCAGGCAGGCAGGCAGATAAAGTCGCCGGTAAAGCCGGCAAAGTAAGTAAGCAGTAGGTTAAGTGAGGTGGTGAAAGGTAGGAAAGAACGCAACGACGGTAGGTGAGGAGGGTTAGTGAGAGAAGGGTTGGTTAGGAGGTAAGGTACCTAGCTAGGTAGTTGGCAAGTAGGTAAAAAAAGGTAACTAACTACCTACCTACTTTAGCTTGTCAAGCAGCAAAGTCAGGTGAGGAAAGCCCTACTTGGGGGAAGGCATGTTGGGTAAAGAAATAATGAAGAAAAGTCACTTAACTGAGGTACGGAAGGGGAAAGGAAGGCTTAAAGGTGTTGAGATTCGAAAAGCGAGTAAATACACCTTCCAGCTTGGGAAATCTACCTAGCAGCAACAGATTGTCACAAGCAATATCCACTCTGCTATGGTATCTACCATGTCACCCAGCAGCAAGAATCCTAGATACGTCAACTTGAGCAAGGCAAGGCATGACCAAGGCAAGGCAGGCAAGGCAAGGCAGGCAAGGCATGCAGTTGGTATATATAGACACAGGTATCTCAGACAGCAAAGTTCGAATAACCACTTATATCTTTCTTCTACATCCTAGAGGTGTTTAAACAATTTGTGTATGGTGAAAGCGGACAGAACCTCTCGTGACGTGATGGCTCAATGAGCCATGGAATGTATTCGACGCAACAACATCTTCAGTTAACACCGGCAGCACCGGAACAGAAAAGCCTTCAATTTTAAACAGTGTAAACAACATGTAAGCCTCAGAAGCCGAACCAGCAAAGTAAACCAACCGAAAAAAAGCAAAAAGTAAATTTAACGAGGTGGCAGCCCAAGGATTCTAAGAAGGAAGAAACGACAAACGTACACACCAAAAACAAAAACTAGTACAGCAATCACCAAAGAAAAGGGAGGGGGATGGGGGTTTCAAGAAGAAAAAGCTATTTCATACCAAAACACAAGCCAGAAGGCAAACAACCAAGAAGTTGAGAGAAAAAAACAACATTTGCTAAAGACCAAGCCGAACCAGAAATGACAGACAAAATAAAAGACGAAGGGATCTTTAAGGCCGCCCGCCCCAACGAGGACAAAAAAGAATAAACCAAAAGAAAAACCAAAACCAAGACCATCATGTCATCCAACCCATCCTCTTGATCTGATCCCATGTACTTCGTTCAACCTAGTATATGCTGTCTCCCATCTTCCGCCAGTTTCTTCCTCGAATGCCATCCATGCCAACCCATAAACTCGCTCTTCCTGGTATCCGCTACTCAAAGCAATGCAACGCAACGCTGCTATTCTTATTTTCTGTATCAACAAAGAAGAAAAAACGTAACAAGTGTATCCATCCGTTTCATGTAGTTGAATCTTTTCTTTTCCTTTTCCAAGAACCAAAGAGTGTGGACGGTCTTGACGCGAATGGGGCTAGTAATCACCCTCGTCATCATCCCTATCACCTCCCTTGGTATTCTGTCCTTCCTTTCTTATAGGAATCTTGATCCCCTGGGTGGCGAAGCATTTGCTGAGAACGGTCGACTCGCACACACCGGGGAACTTCTTGGCCGAGTAAACCTGAAAGACGTCGCTGAAGACCGAGGCTAGCACAGGAGCCTTGCCGGCGTTGATGACCGAGCTGCTACCGGCGTTCTGTCCGTTAGGGAGGGCGCCTGGCGCACCGACGTTGACAAAGGAGAATCGGAGCCTAGAAGGGTAAGTCTCTGAGCCAACAATTCCGCTTAGTGGGTCAACTTACCGAAAGTTGCCTTCGGTCCGGACACTCAAGTCTTGAAGAACAAACCAAATACCGATCTTGTCATCTGGGTCCGAAAGTCGGAACGCACTCGCGGCCAGGCTGCCAATAAGGTTCCGGGTGAACATGCCGGTGGGCGAGTTCCCACTGATTGAGAGCCGTTGGGACATGGCAAAGTTCTGCTCATAGACACGAGGAGGTCCATAAGGTGACTGGCTGGGCATAGGCATACCTTGCATATCGTGGCGGAAATCGGGATAGTACTGTGTTGGCGGGGCATAGCCGCCGTTTGGAGAAACATAACCGCCAGCTAGAGTACCATTAATAAGACGATTCTAAAGACAAGACCCATTCGACATTCTCATATCCCAAACTCAAAGGGCGCATACCTGAATAGGGGCTTTGCATGGCATAAGGATTCACACCGGGGCTCTGCGTGTGGTACGGCATTTGCTGAGGGTAACCGACCTCGCGATTCGAAGGAAGGATATGTGAAAAGGCCGGCGTAGACTGTTCAATGGCGGCGTACGATGCGGGCGTAGTCGAGGATATCGATGGAGTGGCAGTATTGTGACGGACCAGGTTTACCTCTGTTATCGCATCTTCGGACCAGAGATCAACATTTAGAACATACATGGTATGTTCGATATGACTTTGAAAACACAGTGTTAGATTATTTCAGTCGCACAGTGAAGTTTGGGGGTGAGATGAAAGGCGTGTACACTCACTTGCAGTCAATCTCCTTGCCGGTTTGGGCATCTCGGACAATCAACTTGACACAGGGCGGCGGTGTAATGGGGCGACGATCCTATCAACGGTGAGCCAGACTGTCGGTTTTCTTGCTTAAAGCTTGACAGAAGGTCCTGAATCAAGCATACCTTGTCGCCGAATCCGCACATCCGGGCACGCTGTGGCTGTTGCACAACCACAAGACTGTCAGGGTCTCTACATTAGCTCGGCCGATAACAAGCGAGAGATAAACGGGACCTGGGTAAAATCGAGGAGAGGGGATATTGGGCCTGATCAGATGAAAAGGGAGCAAGAGCTACTTTCATACCTATACAGTCTTCCACTGCCATCCGAGGACGAGTAAGGTTTCAAGTTGATTTCTTGCTGTTTCTTTTGTTCGGGGGTGAGCTGATTACCTCCCGAGCTGTTATCCTGGGCTGAGCTTTGTGTTGCATCAGTCGACCCGGGAGGACCTGGCTGCGAAGTGCCGATTTGGGGAGGCTCTCCATACTGCGTCGCGAGAGGAGGCATTGGTGGTAACGGCTGCATCGAGTGTCCTTGATATGGTCCCTGATGAGGCGGTAGCTGGTGAAGCTCGGGCTGCATAGAGTGGCCCTGAGAGGGCTGGTATGGTGGGTGGTGCATGATGGGCTGCTCCTTTTTTTCCGTTTCTCTCGCCGGCTCTTTCTATTACCCCTCCAAGCTTCCAACTCTTCCTTGGCAGTTTCCTGTATAAACGGGCACTCTCTTATTGTCCTGAATGTTGTAATCAGAATTTCCAGCTCTTGGCGCGTCGATGTAAAGGCGTCCAAGGCCGCTCGGGCGGAAATGTCTGTGAGCTGGTGCGCGTTATCCCGTGATCGAGGTTGCGCTCCGAAAGGGGTTGATGATACTGCGACTGCGGGCGGCGGAGGGTTCAGTCGATGAGGGGTGGTATTTATCTATGGTAAATGCGGGCGCGCAATTGGCCACTGTGAATGTGAGCAGTCAAAGAAAACAAAGGCCCGAGAGCTGAGGACGGCGCAAAAGTCGCAAAAAGTTGCAATGAGGAGCTGAAGCTCTTCCTTGTGCGTATTTAAAGAGATAACCAGCTCGCCCAGGTTTTGTTGTTGGTTTCAATTTCGGTCCTGGTAATAACTTAGGAGTCGGAAGTGCAACTTGCTCGTTGGGAAAGCTGTGGTAGTGGTGGAGTGGGGAGCCGAACGCCCAGTCGCCAGCCCAGTACTTGG